ACCACCACCCCGCAGCAGCTCCTGCCCTACACCACAGCCCCATGCGAGGTCCAGCCCAGCAGCCGGGGCCGCTCACTGCCAGCCCGGAGTCCTGAAGGTGAAACCTTCCCGCAACACTGGCCTGGACAGGGGCTCCAGTTGTTTTTGAAACCAAAACAAAAGCAGCAACTGGGTTGGAAGCGTTTGGAGATGCAAACATGTCATCACCCCGTTGTTTTGTTTTTGTCCCATTCCAGGCTCGTTTGAGCAGGTCCATAACGGCGGATTCTGCACATTACAGGGGGCCAAAGGCTGCGGCTCCCCGGAGCACGTGTTGTTTTGTTCTCGTCTATCCCGCAACACGGCCAAAGAGCAAGGGCTGACTCAGCAGCTGACACGTGAGCCCAAAGCTGAGACCACGCTCAGAGCCGCAGGCAAGGGGCCAGCGGCAGCGGCAGCGTCGCTTGCCCCATTATCAGGAAGGATGGGGCTCGTGCTGCTTCCCCCTTGGCACAGCACCCCTGTGAGGAAAGGCTGGTGAGCACCTCTGCTCTGAGGACGTGCACGATCCAAACACCTGAGCTGCTGAACTCGGCCAGCCAGAGCAGAAGGGATGGCCGAGATGGTGGCACGTTGCTGGCCTCCAGCTCCAGCCACTTGCTCCACACCCCAGCACCTTGCTCTGCCCCCCCCAGCCAGCTCCCAGTGCTGAATTCCCTGCGTGGCCAGGGTGGGTTTCCTTACTCCTGCAGCACTGCTACAGGAGGACTTGTCCCCATCACCCCTCAATTCTGGATTTAATCCCCAGTCAGGCAGAGGGAAAGGGATCCAAGTGCTTGCCCTGACCCTCAGGCTGCTATCAAGGTGGACACCAGGCACCTCTGAGCAGGGATTTTCACTGCAGTCAGTTACTACATGTGACGTTTAATTTCTTTGCCCTCTGCTTCCTGCACAAACCACGCTGCCAACACACAAGAGTGTTGGGATGGAATACTTTATTCACATGAACGCTGGGATCCTGGCCCGTCCTGCCTGCTGCAGCTGCTCCCATCTTCTAGACAGCGTGAACAAGGAAGGATTTCTTCATGGGCTTGCTCCAAACCCCCCCCAGCATCATCAGACCCCACAAACAAGCACAGACAGTTCAGCTTTGTCCAGGCAGGAGCACAGCACGGAGGGGCAGGGAGCACTGTGGGGCTGGCAGAGTGGGGAGAAGGGCTCCAGCCCCAAATCCCACGGCTTGTGCACGTGCAGCAGCTGTGAAACCTTCCTGCAGCTCCTCTCTCAACCAAACACACCAGCCGAGCTGGAACCCCGGCTCCAGCACCCTCCCAGCCTCGGGGGCTCCTCCTGCAGCCACAAACACCCAGGGTTAGCAAAGGATGGGTGCCACCATCTCTTCTCTTTGGAAAGCTGCCTGCCAGAGTGACCCCAGTCTCTTTTGTCACCTGCTGGGCCATTTAACCCTCCAAGTGCCCCCTGCCCACTGACAAATACCCTCCCCAAACTATTACAGTAAAAGGAAAAACCTGCACGTTGAGACGCACAGGCTGAGTCTTGGGTAGAGAACGGTTTCCATGCCCGGTGGTCCAGTGGCGGCTGGCAGCCCCCAGCCAGCGCTCGGGCATAGAAGGGAGCAGGATCCCCCGCAGCCACCCCCAGCACATCAGGGCTTCATCCTGCTCAGTCTGATGTCGCGTTCGATTTCGAACTGCCTGTGATCCACGCGCTCCAGGAATGCTTTCCTCTCGATGTACCTGTGGGGAGACGGAGGCAGAGGCTGTCAGCAGTGCCTGTGGCAGCCAGCGCTGCAACCAGCCCCGGGGCAAAGCCCACCTGAAGGGATGAGCAGGGAGGGAAGGTGTCATCTGCCTCCCTCCCACTCTCTCCATGAGCTGATTGCTCCACTGAGCATCTCCTACAGACACCAAAGGTGACCTGCTGGGTGTCTCCCAGGGGACTTGCAGCGGTCTGGGATGCAGGGTCCCCATAGGCTGGAGCCATGGGCTGGCTGCTTCTGATTCCAGCTCTTCTCTTACAGCTGAGAAATGACCTTCACAAAAAGAACTTGAACGGGCTCAGGGCAGGTCCTTGGCAGCAGAGGCAGCTCTGGGGCTTCCCAGGTGACCCTGCCCATCTCTCAAACCCAACCGCAGCGGCACGGCCCGTGATACAAGCTGATCACAGGCACGGGGAGCCTGAGGGATGCAAACAGCTTCAACTCAGTGAGCCTGCAGCAGCTGAGGGAATCAGGCCAGGGGTTTCCCAGCCACAGACCAGCTCCTAACCACCGCTCAGTATTTCCTTCTCCCTCTCAGCCAGGCACCTGAGCACTGCAAGGGAGAAAGCAAGCGCGTGTGCCTGGAAAAGCACCTTGCCGCTCATTAATGGCATGCAGCTGAATTTTAATGTACTTTGCTGCAAACCCTTGCCACAGATAGCCCAGGGCTGTGCTACTAATTAACCTACAGAGGGAGCGAAATTGCAATTCAAAACAGGAGCTGTAATTGAATCATCACAATTGTTTTGCATTTGTTCCAGGGTGGCAAACACTTGGCTGTCATGACAAGGTCATTACGCTCGGCCCGGCATGAGATGCGTGAGCCGCTGCGTTCAGCTTCTCTCCACCGGTAACCAGAGAAGCTCATCGCTTCAAAGCAAGACTGAAGGCTGCAGGAAGATGAGCATCACGGGCTCTCTGGGTTTTCCAGGCTCCTGGGTGGCTGGCAGTGTGCACAAAGGTGCCCAAGACCCAACTGCAGGAGGGTTGAAGCCTCCTGCCACCACCCACCGTGGTCCCTCTGGGATGAGGTGACGAGGTCTCTGCTTTGTGCCACAGCTACCGAACCGGCGCTGAACGTGCTCCCAGGATCAGGGTGCCTTTGCCAGTGCTGCAAGGGACAGCCCTGGCACTCCTGCCCACCCAGCCATCAGCGGAGAGGAATTAATCCAAATTCATCTCAGCAAGTGATTCCCTCTGGCTCTGTCCCTGCTGCCACCCCACTCCCATCGCAGCCCGAGCCCATCTCACGCTGACACAACTGGGTCAGCCCATCTCCGCCGGCTGTGAGGGGCCGGGGCCCAGCCTGGCGGAAGCAGACGATGTGCTGGCTGTGAGGGGGTATTTTTCTGTCCTTCTGCCCCCCACTGTCAGTGGAGGGCCGTGCCCCGAGCCCCCTCCCCATGCCAGACCAGGAAAGGCAGGCAGGGGAGTGTCGCTTCCCTTCGTCCCCACAAGCAGGGAGGTGACCCGCTCCTGGGGCCAGGCTCAGAGAGGCCACGGGAAGGAAGTTGGGGGGGTCATGCTGTGTGTCATATTGCTGGGCGTGTGGTTTTCCTCCCCCCTCTGCTGCTAAACACCAACCACAACCACAGAGATGAGAGGGGTCACCGCTGGGAACACCCCAACCCTTGGGCTGCAATGGCCCAAATGTGAGGGGCCAACATTGAAGCTCCTTCTGCCCCCTCTGTGACTCGCTTCTCCAGCCCCAGCAATGGGGCAGAGCCTTCCTCCTCCTCCTCCACGAATGCTGTGCCTCTCCGGCAGGCAGGGACTCGCTCCGGGGGGATCGATATGGATCACAAACCAGGAATGTGGTTCCACGGCCACAGCCAGCAGCTCTGCACAGAGGAGGGACCGTGATGTTACCCTGTGGCGTTGTCCTTGGTCGGCCACTGAAAAGCGCCACAGGGGCCAGAGCAGACCCCACAAGGCACTACCTGTGCATACCCCAGGGTTTATGGGGCAGGCAGCCTGGGAACAAGCCTGGCTGGGTTCTACAGCAGGTACATAGGGGCTGGAGGTGCTGACGGACACAGGCAGGAACAAGTCCCCCTGCACCCCGAATCCTGTGCCTGAATCTGGTTCCCAGCCTGGCTCCGTGCAGCTGGCAGCACAAAGTGCACGAGCGAGGCACAAACACCCGTCCTGTGCTCGTCTCAATGACCTTTGCTACCTGAATCAATACCTTCCTGTAAATTATCAGCCCAGATGGAAACAGGGCAGCTGCGATCCGCAGCAGAGGAAGGGATATTTGCTGGGAGAAGAGGCTATCTCTGCTAACGAGGGCAGCTGCAAACTGTTCTGGGGAGGGTTTCACCGGTGCTGCCTGTCCCCTGCCAGTCACCATCAGTCACCCAGCGCATGGGTCCGTCCCCGCATGAGGAGCGGGGCTGCTCCCCCATGGGCCTGTCCTACAAAGGTGGCCCAATTAAGAGGCAGCTACACATTTCCATTTATAAAGCACACCAGAGAGATCGACAGCAAAGGGGAGAGCTGCCTCCGCTCCTTCCTTCACCCCCTCCTGTCACATCCAGGACAGGCCCTCAGGATCTGACACAACCAGGCTGCACAAGCCCAGATCCTGCTGCTGGGGAAATGCAAATCACTGTCTGGGGCTGGTGATATGAAAAGTGGACAATCAGAGGCCAGGGTGGACACAGCCACGGGGCAGCACGTGTCCCCACTGCCTCGAGAATCCTGGGGCCAGGCTGCAGCGGGCTGATAACCAGCATCAGCAGCAGAAAGAAACAACAGCCCTGCTGCTCAGCTGGCTGAGTGCGTGTCTCTGCCGAAGGGCTGGGGAGGTCTGAGGCACGAGGAGCTCTGGGCTGTGAACAGCAACTTCTGCAAGGTTACCACAAAAAAAAAAGAGAAATCATAGAATCATAGAATGGTTTGGATTAGAAGGGACCTTAAAGCTCATCCAGTTCCAACCCCCCTGCCATCAGCAGGGACACCTTCCACTAGACCAGGTTGCTCAAAGCCTCATCCAACCTGGCCTTCAACACTTCCAGGGAGGGGGCATCTACAAATTCAGACTGCCTTCTCTTCTGGGCAAAAAGAAATGCCTCCTCTCTTCCTTGAGACACGCATGGAGCATCTCTGCAGTGCGCAGGCACGCGTGGCGTTGGGTAGGTGCTTCCAGGAGCGGCTTTCCTCGTCAAGCAGACGTTTTTAATTACAAAGCAGGACATGGAGGGATCAGAGGTTTCTAACGCACGTCAGCAGCGGGGACAAAGGCAGCGCCCCACTCCCTCCTGCCCGGGTTGAAGGGTTAACAACGGCTCATTTGGATTTTTATAGAGATGTGTAAATGATTGCCCGCGGAAAGGGGAGCAGAGCCTATGTCATTGAAGGAGAAGCGGTGGCTGCGGAAGGGACAACAGGCTCCTGCAAAACAACCTGAAGCTGGTGGCAGCTGTGTCTGTGCTTCTGCCCCCCGAGCAGGCTGGCTGCTCCCCAAGGGTGCAGCACGAATCATGTCGCAGGTGGCCTGGCAGGAGAAATGCAGTAGGCTGCTGCGCACCCATCGCTGCTCCTCCCTTCTCCTTCCTTTCCCAGTGAGCAGACACTCACCCTGTCCCCTCACATCACACGCCTGACTAACACAAACAGATTTGTAAGGGGTGTCTGAAGTTCTCATGGCATCACATTTCTCATTTGAGTTCCTGACAAAAATCACTCGCCTATAGCCCAGGGGATTTTCCAGCCTGGGAAGTGATGGGCAGAATGTTGTGAGTGGGAAGGGACCCACAAGGACCATCGAGTCCAACTCCTGTCCTAGCAACTCAAAGCTGTTCAAGGTTACAGGTGCTCTTAGAATTGCTGCTCTGTTTTGTTCCATCTCTTCAATGTGCTGATCCCTTCTTCTGCCTTCAAGGACCATTGAAGGTCTCCAGAAAGGTCTGCCAAGCGTGAAGAGCGAGCTGCTCTGCTTTTATGGGGTGGGAAACAGCTCAGGCCAAGAAAGGTTAACAGACCTTGTCTGTCCAAGAAAGGCTGGAACAAGCAAGAGATGCTACAAAACACTGATGCGGGGTACCCTGGCCCATCTGGGGTGTGTACAGTCCAGCTGAGAGTGATGAACCCCAATTCAGGCAAATTCTACTGTTTGTAGAAAGAAAGCAGTGTGTCCCAGCAACCAGCAGGAGATGGTCTGGCTTTTAATGGTGGTTCTACCACCATCAGCATAGTCCAGAGCAGTGGACTCCACCTCCTTAGATTTCAGGGATCTTGGAGGAACACCTGCCCCCTCCAGCACTCCCACTGAACTGCTCTACTTGTTCAAGGGCACGTGTCCAGAAAGAGATCAGGACCGATCTGATGGAGAAAGGGTGTTGTGGAAGGGGGCAAGGCCAAACTGAAAAAACCCAGCAGTTATAAAATATCTATCTGAAATACAAAATCCAACCTGTTGGAAGGCAGAAGCTCTGAGTTTTCCCCGCAAAGGACAGCTTACAATAAAAATACATTTTATGAGCTGTCCACTAAGCCGGTTACGTTTTCCCAGAGCGTAGCAAAGCACTTGTAGTGGAAACACCGCTTCTGATCTTATTATCCTTCCCTGCAGTGTGTGTTATTAACATTCTCTTTTATTTACAGCATTGCCATTTACTTTTACGAGACTTCCATTCACTTCATTGGAGTGAACGTTGCTTGATGCATGCAATCCACACCCAGCGCTGCCGTAATCTTTAACGCACCTTGCCAGCTGTTCCGGGTTTGCATACATCTTTACGCAGGAGGAGGGAGGACAGACGCAGCTGGAACATGTCATTTGAAGAATGGAACAAAAAACATACCTCCCAATTTGAGACTTTTTTTTAAAAAACAAAACCAAACCAGGGCAAAGGCAACTGTGTTTCCTCATGGGAGCGCTGCATTAGACCAGTTCACACTGCATCTGTGCCACTAGCAGGAGAGAAGATAAAGCACAGCCAGATTCTGCTTTAGCTGGACTTGAAGAACTCACAAGGTTGTTAGCAGAGAGTGAGAGATGCTTGCAGACTTACCTGTCTCCCTCTGATACCTATACCAGCTACTGATTTTATCTGTCTCTAAAATAAATCCTTAAGAAATCCCCTGGGTTTGCTGAACAACCTCTGTAGCAAGCAAGGGGGTTCCTACATCTATAGGAAGTGGTGGGAAATGCTGGACCACTACTAGGTAAAGTCCCTCTTACCCGTCTTTCCCTCGGTTATGGATTGCCAGCTCCTCCACAATCCCCTCCTCCTCCTTGAATGTCTCCCAGTCCAGTTTAGATTTCTCCAGTGTGCTCATCTTCTGCTTTTTGGAGCTAATCTTCCCCAGGAGGCTGCTCATGCCGCTTGGCCTCTTCACCCTGACGGAGATAAGGGAGCAAATGTTATTTAAATGCAGGGAGACAGCGTCAGTTCGCAATTAAAAACGGAGCTGAGAAACGTCAGGCATGAGAGTGGTGGCCTTGATGGTGGTGAGCCACCACCACTAAACAGATGGCCACCAACTCCAGGCAGCCTGCGGGCAGCAAGGTCACGCTTCCTGCAGATCCCGCTCCGCCGTTCCCGGGAAGCGGTGGTGGAGTTCATCACACACGTATCTCAAGTGCTCGCTTTTTGTGAAAGGGCTTTTTCATTTATCTTCCTCAGAGAACAGAAAGCTTTCAGGCCAAAAGAGATCATTAAATCATCTAGCTTGACCCCTTGTATACACCAGGCCAAGCCATTCCACTGATCACCTCCTTGCTAAGCCGGGTTCTTTGTCTTCGGTTTAAAGTGCTGTTTTCTGGAAGGGATCCAGCCTCAGTGCGTCACCAGCGCTGACAACACATCCAGGAATTAACCATTTCGTTGCTACCAACACGCCTGTTTGCAACTTGATTTTATTGAGCTTTAGGGTCTGGTTGCTGCTGCTTATTCTAAATCTCAGAGTCCTTCGGTGCCCGTGTGGGTCTCATTAGCAACGTGCTCATACACCATAACGAACTGACACCTGAATTGGGTTCTTTTTGACAAACAGATGGAGCTCTTCATGCCTCTCACTGAAATCCACTTTGTCCCAGCCCCTAGGTCATTTCTAAGGTTTTGTCCCCCTCAATTACGTTTCAACACTCTTTGAAGATGAGGGCACCAGAACCGTGTGTAACCCCCACCCCTTCTCCTGACCACAAATCTGCTTCTGTCCAAGGATTGCCTAAATCCTGTCAGTGTCACCTCAGTCCCAGCGCATGTGTGCTGTGATCCTACACCATCTCCCAGGTCCCTGTTTAGCAGGAAGACCACTTTGCTCTTTTGTCTCCTTGTTCTTAGAGGACTGAAATCCCACCCGTGTGGTGGGGCCCCCCGAATCTCCCCTTTCTGCTGGGAAATGCACACACAGGGACTGAGGTCAGCCAGGTCACCTTCTGAGGAAGACAATTCTCAGGGCTAGGAACCCGCAAAACAAACTCATATTAACCCCTTCTTAAACCCTGCAGGAGAGGGGGGCAAACACCATCCCATTGAACTCAGTGTTTACACACATTCCAGAGATAACTTCAGGTCTGCAGGGCTTTTGCCTCTGCAAGAAGCCGGAGAGGAAATGATTCTCGTTCCTGAGAGATGGAAGAATTTGGGGAGGGGGGGGCCCAAGGAAGGCAGCCAGGTGAGCGTGGCAGACTGCTCTCCATCAGCTCTCTCCTGCCCAGGGGTAGCTGTTCTTGGGAATGCATCCAAAGCTGTCCTTATCGGATCATTAGTGGAGTTTATGCTTCCATAATTTGCAAGTCTCTAAAGGAAAATAATTCTGCAGTTTATATGGAATTAAATAAAAGAAAATGATATCTTTGTAAGCCTCAGCTAGAAGATTCTCAATGCAAGAATAGCTGGCCACGGTCACTTGGGGTTGCAATTTCCTGACAATAGATATATTTGGGCTACAAACCCTGGATTAAGGGCATTTTGGCAAGTTCCATAGCTGCTGGGCAAAGCTGTCTGCCCTTCCTCATACTACCCGGCCAGAGGAGCAGAAGTGTCCCAGGACCTGGCCCTCTTGCTTCTTTCAACCCCTGCCCGCTGCTGGAGAGCGTGCCAGCACTTCTCACTGCGGGGACACAGAGCAACCTGGATGCTCTTTTGTTCACCTTTATCCCTGAACATCTCATCAAGATGTCTACAGCCCTTCACATCACGATCAGGCGATAAAACCTGGATCCTCGCTCAGCCTCCGATTCTCCCTTATTTTTCAAGACATGATGGCTCCGAGGATCCTTATCTGCAGGCACCAGCAAAGTGGTGCAAGGGGGCAAAATGTGCAGAGATGTTTTCAGCACAAGATAAAACTGGAGACTCTGCTCCCACATCTACCTATCCAGGACTACACGTGAGCCTTGCACAACCACCAACCCAGTATCAGACAAGTGTTGGAGTTGTGAGAGAGCGGGAGGAGAGGAGATATGACAAATAAGAAGGCAAAACCAAACAAAATACTGGGAAAATATCTTCTGTAGCAGCCACCTGGAAGGCAGAGGCTGGTGCTTGTGCACAACAGTTCCTTACACTGCATGAGAAGCCCTTGGGTTTTACCAAAGAACTTAAAGATGCCCTGAGAGAGATCTGGAGAAGTGCTATAGCTGATCCAGCTGGCAACGCTCCTCTCCCCCCAGCCTGGCAGGCAGGTGTTTAAATTACCACAAGGTATTCAAAAACACGTTCCTCTGAACACACTTAACTTCCCAGACACCCTTGTGCTCACAGTTCTGCCCACCTTTGATGTGGGAGAAGCAGGGCTGCAGAAATGGAAGATGTTGTCCCATGTCCCTACATGTCTCCTTAATGCTTTTTGGGACAAAGAACCCTGATGGCATAAAAGCCACCTCACCTGTCCAAGGGCACTCACAGCTCACCTGCACCTGCCAACTCATCCGTGAGTGGGAGGCTCCAGTCTGTACTACAGACTCTGCAAAAGACACAGCACACACCTGGAAAACCCACTTGAAGCCATTTCCGGATCCCTCCTGGGTGTTTGCGGCATTCATGACCCGCAGAGCCACAAGCAGGCTCAGGGGCAGGCTCCCACACGCCAAGACTGATGTCTTTTTGGCTGAACCTTGGGCTGTCAGCTGCCGGTGGGGAAGAGCTGAGTTGGGACAAGGGCCAATCAGCCAGGCTGGGCTGCCACACATGTCCCTGCACGAAACACAGACCAGGACATGCTGACAGGTAACTGCTGTCCCCAAGCCGCAGTGGAGGATATCCACGAGCAAAGGGAACCAAAGGCAAGGTGGTTCTGGCAGGGGTGGGAGCAGAGGTGGTGCTGGCTTCACAGCAAGGAGCAAGGGCTGCAGGCTAGATGAAGGTTGTTTGTCACACATCTCTCCCATGGTAACTCCTGGCAGAAATTAACAATGTCTGCATGCACACACCCATCTGTAACAGGGCTCAGAGCCTCTGTATCTCCTCTTGGCCACAGATCTTGGGAATATCCCTTCAAAGATACAACTCACCCCATGTTTGAAGCTACAAAGTCTAGGCTATGAACATGGACCTCCACCAAGGGCTTCCAGATAGCTGCAAGAATACTCGCAAGTCAAGAGTTCCTTCAAGGCGAGGAAACGTAACGAAACAGGGTGGGCTATGTTACACCCTCGTGTTGATGACTCCTCTGCTAATGTCTGATCTCAGCCCCATGCTGGAGACGGGCTCTGGGCTGGATGACCTGGCTCTGCTCCTGCCAGGACAATTCTGTGCTGTTTGAGGCAGGACCAAGCCTGGGCCAGGCAACGAGACGGGGCCAGGCACAGGCTGAAGGACATGTTGGAGTCTGCTGCTGAGCCTTCACTCCGCGTTGAGCCTTTCATCACTCTGAATAAATCCAACAGCAAACCTGGGGGTGGGAATTCCTACGCTTGTGCCAAAACGAAGTAAATGAGAGACATTAAAGTCCAATTAAAAACTTGCTTGGCCTTAAATGCCTCATCTGTTTAAAAAGCAAGTAAAGGGGCCTGATTAATTGCATTCAGCGCCAACAAGAGGAATTATTACCCTTTTTGTACTCATTAAGGGTATCTGCTGTGGCATCTTTAATCACTAAGGCATTTAAAAGAGAGAAAGTAATTTGCTAAGACATAATGGATCCCCGGGATGAGAATCAGGACAATCGCCTATTTAGGACACAAAGACACCCTCTTACTTTCTACAATTAAAAACTGTGGACAAAAGCAGCCCCTGAACCAGCAAATAAACGTGCTGGCGAGTTGTCTTGGCCGGAGAGATTCCCCTGCACCCACCCAATGTCTTCAGGACAAGGACTGTGCCTGTGCATCACCCAGCACGGTCACACAGAGGGACAAACAGCGAGCCAAGGGCTCCCTTGCTGTCCCACCACCATCAGTGAACACACTCTGTATTGCTGCTTCCTCCCATCTCAGCATGAGCCTGCAGCCCGACCAGGACCTTGGAGACTTGCTGCTATACCAATGATAAAGTGTCACTGTCACGTGTAATCCCTGCTGTCTTGTAACGTGAAGGTCAGCAAACGCATGCTTGCCCCCAAAGAGGCAGACTTCATCACGAGCTTTATAAAATCATCTTCAAGTAATAGAAAAACAGGACTGCAAGGGTCTCATAGAGCATCCTGAGGAGTTCCTCATCCAGAGATGGGTGCTCTGAGGGCCTCCTGACACCCATCCCACAGGCACTAGAGGTTTCAATACTTCATCAGCCTTTCACTTATTTAAGTTTTCCCCAATGACTAAATTTCCTTGTTCAGCCTATGACTCGTTATCTCCTTCCCAGTAGCTCCTAAGAACAGATCATTCCCTCACTTTTCGCAGCAGCCTTTTATGTCTTTGAAAGCTTTTCATATCTTCCCTCCTGCTCAGCTTGCTCTTCCCTAGACTAAACAATGCCGGGTCCTTTCAAGCTTTTCTCATTCCTCATGGTTTCCAAGTCCTCTGACCACTCTCGTTGCTCTCCCTGGACTCTCTGCTATTGGCCCACATCTTCCTCAAAATGCAGCATCCAAAACAGGAAAGAAAGGGCTCTAGTTGTGGCTTTACCGGCACCGGGAGCA